TGGATTCTCTCAGATTATTCAGGTCAGTTTAACAAATATCACCCAAATGTCTGTGGACCTCAACTGTGTGGGAGTTCAGATGAGATCATATAACTGGACTTACCTTGAAGCTCAATGGACACTCACCAGTCAGGCAAATTTTGGGAGTCCCTTTCCTCTCTGTTACCTCTGAGTCTCCAGAGAGATTCTTCGTATGCTCAAAATCAGTGCCTTGTCTTGGAGGTTCTCCAGCAGGGCTCGTGGACGGTCTTCAGCAGGGCTCAGAGCACTCTGCTTTAGCAGATACCAGTGTATCCTGTCCATTAATACTCTTAGGACCATGGATTTTTCGGTGTCTGTGTGTGTGTGTGTGTGTGTGTGTGTGTGTGTATGTGTGTGTGTGTGTGTACGTGTTTGTGGGGAAGAGTGCACATTGTGTACATGTGTACACATGTAGGCCAGAGGTCAATGTTGGGTGTCTTCTTTAATTGCTTTCCATCTTAATTTTTCTGTTTGTTTTTTGAGGCAGGTCTCCCTGCAGCCTGAACTAGTCTGGAACTATGTAGACCAGATTAGTTTTGAGCTCACAGAGATCTGCCTGCCTCCTCCCCCTAAATCCTGGGTTTAAAGGCATATACCTGGATTCTCTACCTCAGGTTTTAAGACAGTTTCTCAAAGAACCTCAAATGTACCAATTAGCTAGACTGGCTGATCAGCATAAGCCATGGATTTTCCTGTCACTTCCTCCGCAGCCCTGGGATTATAGGAATATGCTGTTCCACTTTTTACATGGGTATTGGGAATCCAAGCTCAGTTCTTGGGCAGCAAGCACTTTACCAACTGAGTCATCTCAACTGCCAGTGAGACCAAGGCTTTCTTTCAAGCTGCTATTCACCATAAACCCTCACCTCATGCTATACTCATAAACCTGCTGTTCTGGAAGTGTTTTAAATTAGCTTTCTCCAAGCACTTGCTCAGCACTGTGTATGTTACCGAAGCTACAAAGCCTCACTCACTCAGAATGCAGACCTCCTTCCCTATGGCATTAAGAGACGTCAAGGCTGCCTACTGTAAGAGTGGGCTCCACTGAAACTCACACTGGTTCCAGAATTACTATTCCAGTTTCTTTTCACTTTGGATAAATTATTTCAATGATTCTGCATTTCCTTCTTAAAGTTTATCATCTCCTCCTCTCTTATTTTATCAGGTACAAATACACATTTAAATCCTAACTGTACATAATATTCTAGTTCGTTCTCACAGTGATTTCTTAGTCATTGTAAAATCAATGGTGGTACACACCTATACTCCCAGAAACTTGAGAGACTGAGACAAGGGGGATTTCTTGAGACTTTAGAGTTTGTCACCTAACTCCATACCTCAAATACACACACACACACACACACACACACACACACACACATACACACACATATATGAATGAAACATTCCCTGGATTTGGTTTGAAAGGCCTGGATTCTAATTTGAGGGCTATCAGTTACTAAATTACTTACCTTCACTGAAGCTCAGTTTTGTCATTTCCAAAGTTAGAACAATGATATGGAACCAACATTGGTACTTTGCTATTTGACGGAAGGGAAAGCTCTTTGTAGAAAGTTCTCAACATAAGGTATTTGTCCTTGACCTGTGGAATGAATGAGTCCTTGTTTGACCTGTGGTCACATTCAGAAGTGTGTGTGGAACTTGCCATCTTGACCAACAGAACTTTGCCCTCAACAGGACTGAAGGAGGACTAGATAAGTGGCTCTGTGGTTAACAGCCCTTGCTGTTTCTCAAGAGGACCCAAGTTCAGTTCCCAGCACCCATGGTGGATTGCTCACAACTACCTGTAACTCCAGCTTACCCATGGTGGGTTGCTCATAACTACCTGTAACTCCAACTTCAGGGGGTCACGTGCCTTACTCTAGCATCCCTGAGTGCAGCTGTACATATATATACATATATATATGTGTGTGTGTGTGACACACATACACAAAGTAAACAAATAAATCTTTACCAAAAAAAGAAGAAGACTGAAGACTGAAGGCCCCGTAGGAGAGAGCATCTTCTCTGCAGGATTCAATCAGAAAGCCTGTAGCTCCTTCAGGAAGCCTGGCAGTTCAGAAGGAAGGGCTGGTTTTCAGCTCCAGATGTTGATGTATCTCATTTTAAGCTCACCTTCAAGCCCAGCTCAGGGCTCTCTAAGTACCTACTGAACAGACTACACATTGTGTGGACTGAGACAATCCTAAAAGGCTAATGGAATTTTAAATCATTTCTTTTAAGGTGACTCTGCTTATACCATCAATAAAGCAACACATGAGATTTAATTTCACATACAAGTATGCAAATTAAAAAGGCATGATGACTATCTTCTACATTTGCTGCCCTAACAAATTAGAAGGTGTTTGGTAACCTGTTTCCTAAGCAATTATTCTATGTTCCCCATCACTTTATAAAATTTTTGTTGAAACTAGTGAAAATTATAGTTTCTATTTCTTTATCTTTGATCTACAAAGGCACAGAAAAATACTAGGTTTATATGATCACCAGAAATTGGTTTGAGCAATTACAATTAGCCATGAATTGCTACTTTAAAGAAGGCATAATAGAAGTGCCCTTTTCCAAACTGGTTATCACCTAAGATGAATCATCAGGAATATTAACTCTTTGTGAACTAGCAGGAACACTGTAAACAAACCTCAAAGGAGACTGATGGACAGAGTCTCAAGGACAATACTGCTCTTGCCAGAAACCTTTACCAACTTCATTTCTGAAAGGACAGAATGTAGTTCAATTATGAGTGGGACAAACATGGAAGGAATCTGCTCATCAGAATGTTCACAAAGCAATGACATTATAATTAATGAAATTATCAGAAATTATTAATAAAACAAATTTTTAGAGAAAAATTAACATATCAAAAGGGAAAAATGGTCATCCCTGTTACAGCCTGAATGTGTTCCTCCAAAGTTCCTATAAGATTTAAACTTCAAGAACTCCAACTAAAGTTTTTGGGAGATATGGTCTTTAAATAGATCCTTAAAGGAAAATGGGATCAAATGGGTGGGCTCTAATCCAATGTGACTGATGTCCTTATACAAAAAGATTAGGCCAACTGGAAAACTAGGGAGGCCAGATTGCAGGCCAAAGGGACAGTCCTCAGAATGAAACCCCACCCTGCTGACATTGTGGACGTTGACTTGCAGTTCCTTAACAGTGAGAATTCCCTTCTGTTCTAGCACTATGCCCTAGTCTTCCCTATATCAGCCCAACAGACAAATACAGCGCTTTACAGAAAACAGTCTGTACAAAAGATAGAAAGCCATGTTTTTCTTGGACCTTGAAGTTGTAATAGACTCTATCTTGAGATTATCGCTTAATTCTCAAAGTAGTTTCCATTGTCCTTTAACTCCCATGTCTCATGAAAACCCTATTTAATAAACAGAGATTGAGGCTGAGAGGAGCTATGACTTGGCCTTACTCAGTCAGAGACTATGTGTCAGACCAAAGCTTCCAGCTTCACATGAAAGGCAACAGTTAAGCTCTGATGAGAAGCACACTCCACACTTAACTCTTAGGGACAATGAGGCACCACATGGCAAGGTGGTCTGCCTTCTGTGTGCCCAGCAAAAAACAGCCTGCTTGGGCTCGAAGGCAGATAGATGTTCAGGCTCTGAGGCCCATCTGGTTGCCACTGACCCCTGACAGGAAGGCGTGCAGACCCACCACATTTCCTGACTTCCTCCTTCTCCTTCCTGTAACCCTTCACCAAGCAGATATAAGCCACTGAGCCAAGGGAAAAACAACCAGTTAGGCACAGTTATGACTTTTCAAAGAAACCAGTAACACTATAAAGACAGATTTAGATTTCTTTGAGTTTAACTTTTGTGGCTAATGAGAAAGAAAAGCTCAGTCTCCACATAATAAAAACAAACGTTGCAGGGCGTGGTGGCGCAGGCTTTGATTCCAGCACTCTGTAGGCAGAGGCAGGCGGATCTCTGTGAGTCCGAGGCCGGCCTGGTCTACATAGTGAGTTCCAGGACAGCTGGGGCTACAGGGAGACCCTGTCTCAAAAAAAATAAAAAAATAAAAAAAACCAAATGTAATAAATTGCTAGTAATTATTCTCCCCTCTACCCACCATCAGAGAGAGAGAGAGAGAGGCTCGCTCAGTCACATTTTAGGAAAGGAATGGATTATTCTACATGAAGAAGTCTTCTGGAGACAGACTGGGAATGTGGTTGGAAATGAGTACAGATTTGTATGATTACAGAGAATTTGTGGAAAAAGGAAAAATGCCTAATAAGGATTTTGGAAATTTAATTTATAACTCTCTGTTTGACACCATTGCACCCCATCCCACTTCCTGTATACCACCCCTTGCATTGCATCTTCCATACTGAATAAGCTCCCAGACATCTCATCTACCTCAGTGAAAAGTTTCTGCACCAGAGCCCCCCTCAAACACACTCTACCACCCTTATGGTAAAAGACCCCCACATTCTATCCCCATTTTTCTATAAGAACTCATTCTATCTCCCTTACTGTATACTCACCCCACATTCTATCACCCTTACTGCATAAACCCTTGCATTTTATCCCTCTTACTATAAGCCCCCTGCTTACAAGGATCTGGAACACTTCTGATGCCAAAAATGAATCCTAATCAATGTTTTCTAGGTTAGCCAATATTTTATTAACCAAAATTACTCCAGAATCTGGAAAGAAGTCTCTCTTTCTCTCTCTCTCTCTCTTTCTTAGTCTTTCTATCTCTTTTTCTTTTTCATTTATCTACCATCTGTCTGTCCATCTATCTACCCATCTATCTATCTATCTATCATCTATCTAAATATTTTGCTTCGTTATTTCTCTGTGTGTGTCTCTGTCTCTCTGGTTCTCCCTCTCTTCCTCTGTGAGTGTAGTATATGCATACATATGTGTTTACGGGTATGTACATGTGTGTATGCACATGTAGAGGCCGAAGATCTACAGTAATACACAGCTTTGACTGGCTTTTTAAAAAATATGGACTGCATCACAAATTTGAATTTTATCCTTGCTCAGGGGCCATGCTAATCTTCTTAGCATCCCTCCAATTTTAGTATATGTGTTGCTGAAGCGAGCACTTGACTACTTGACTGGCTTTTTATAAAGACAGGATTTTACTATGCAGCCCTGGGTGGCCTGAAACTCCCTATACAGACCAGGCTAACCTCCACCTCAAAGAGATATGCTTACCTCTGCTTCCCAAGTGCTGGAATTAAAGTTGTGAGCCACCATGCCCAGATGTAGGTGCTGGGGATCCAAACTCAGGTCTTCATGCCTGTGCAGCAAACTATACCAACCGAACTATCTCTTCAGCCCTATACTCAGTAATTTCTTTTTATATCTTATTAAAAATGTACCTTAATTATGTGAAATCAAAATATAGTAACAAGCTAAAAATATTTTCCAACAAAATTAGTATATATGCTAATATATGTCTTCAAAAATATAATATCAAAGTATTGATGAAGGTATTGATAACATTTGTCAAACACCATAGAATATGTAGCTCAAAAACTACTTTAATGTAAACTATGGGCTGCAATTGAAAATAATGTATCAATATTGGCACATTAGTTGGAGCACTTAGTAGGTAAGATGTTAATGGTATAAGGCATTATGAGAAGGAAGCAGATCAACTTTTGACTCAAAATATTTTCTCATGTATACGTGCCAAAAGAGAAACACTAACCATAATTAAAATAAGTTGAAAACCAGAGCTGTTTATAGGTCAGATTTCCTGCTTTCTGACAAATGACTCACTGTCTCTCACCTTCATGAATTACAGAAGCAAGGGGTGAAGAAGCTAAGGATGACTTATTATTTAAGCAATAAAGAGGAGAGGAGGCTTTTAAAAGTTGTTCCTAGTTGTCCTAACTAGTCTACTGGCATCTTCTCTTAGTCTTTTAGCATTGTTGGTTCCCATTTGTAAAATGAAATCACCCAGAAAACCTTCAAATTCATCCAGGTGTTGCCATTGTGCAAAGCAGGCTTTCAGTAGGAAGAGGGGTTTCTGAGATGTCCTTAAGAAGGCCATCAGGTTCATGTAAAAAGTAGGGGAGGAGGTGCATGACCATATGAAAATAGAATCTTACGCGCTCCTGGGATCTTGCTCGTATAAACTTACAACAATGGTGAGAGCTTACACATACCCATGCAAACTCAAGGAGACAGAAACACAGCACAGAACTGTGGAAATGGGCAGCAGGCCCCAATTTTAGCCAAAGAACTGTTGGGCAACTGATTACTACTGGAAGAGGAAGAGCTGATCTTTAAGTGAATGACTCTAGATAGGCTGACTAGACCCCAGTGAATGAACTTATACTGAGGGATGTCTGGGGACACTAACTTGACTCGATAGACCTTAACATAACTGACAGAATGCATAAAATCCAGAGGGGGAGGAGGAGCTACGGCAGAAGGGGTATAAAGATGATTAGGATGTTGTATATGAAATATGCAAAAATTCATGATCCAGGTATGGTAGCACACACCTTTAATCCCAGCCCTTGGGAGGCAGAAGCAGGTAGATTTCTGTGAGTTTGAGGTCAGCCTGGTCTACAAAGCAATTTCCAGCTGGGGCTGGGGCTACAGGGAGACCCTTTCTCAAAAAGACCAAAAAAAAAAAAAAAAGAAAAAGAAAAAAGAAATACACAAAAAAAATCAATTAAAAAAGCAAGACAAAAATTAAAAATCCAACTACAATGTCACTTTAAAGTTTTTACTAGCTAAAAACAATTTTGGCAGAGTTAAACATGATTTTAAAGACATACAAATTATTTTAAATAGACACAATTAATTTCAGTAGTATATTTTAAATAAATATACCTGTAATATCATTTTGGCATATAAGAAATACAATAATCAGCGACATTTTAACATTCTTATTTTTACTTTTTATTGTGTTGGATGTTAAGTGCATAATTTATGTTCATAACACATCTGTGAGGACACTAAGGAGACTGTAAGCACACATAAATCTATCTCTCATCTATCTACCAATCACTTATCTATATATCTAGCTACATAATTATATATAACTACATAAAACTGTTTCTCAACCTTCATGGGAAATTAGTTACAGGACTCTGTGAATACCACAACCTGGGGATGCTCAACTATTTTAAATGAAATGCCATAGTACTAACATAGAAACTACACACATTCTTAGACACACTGCAAATCATCTCCACATTGCTCATACACTGCTAATACAATGTAAATGCCTAGTAAATAGTTGTTACACTGTGTTTCTTGTTTTGTTTTTTTTTTAAGACAGGATCTGCCTGTAGCCCTCAGCTGGCCTGGAACTCACTATGTAGACCAGACAGGCCTTGATCTCACTGAGCTCTACCTACCTCTGCCTTACCAATGCCGGGATTAAAAGCATGTATCATCATTCCCAGTGCTATACTTTATTTTTTATGAAATAATGTTTTATAAATGCTTTCAATCTGCATTTTGTTGAATCTGTGAATTGTGAGAACACAGATACAGAGATCTCAATTTATTTATGTGTGCAATTTAATATTTGACAAGAAGGACATAAAAATCAACAAGATAACAATTCCTCATTTAGTAGATTGTATTGGAAAATGTCACTCGATATATGAAGAAAAATAAACCGTGTCCTTACTTTGCATAATAAGATGAACACCAGATTAAATATATAAATTCAATTTTAAAGTATACATAGGGGAATATGTTTGTAACCTAGTGATGAGGAAAAACATACATAGGATACATAAAGTGGAGCTGGGGCTGGGGCTAGGGCTCAGTTGGTAGCATGCATACCTAGTGTACACAGAACTCTGGGTTCAATCTATAGTACCATATAAACTGACATAGTAGTACACACCTGTAATCTCAGTTCTCAGGAGATGGAAGCAAAAGGATCAGGAGTTCAAGGTCATCCTCAGCTACAAAGCACATTTGAGGCCAATGTAGACATATGAGACTCTGACTCAAAACACAGAGTGCATGGGAGGGCTGGAGCTGAAAACATGGCTCAGCAGTTAAGAGTACTTGCTGCTCTTCTAGAGAACCCAGATTCAGTGTCAAACACCCACATGGCAGCTCACAACTGCCTGTGTGCATGTGATACACATATATACACTCAGGCACACACACACACACACACAAAATAAGCTAAATAAATCTTTTTTAAAATACACAAAATATATTTATCAAACTGAAAAATTTGATTATGAACTCAGAGCTCTCTCTTTTAAATTAATATTTTGGGCAAAGTTATCAAACAGATTATAGTGTGGCAGGAAAGCAAATAGTGTTTGAAAATGCCAAGGGATTCATATCCTAACAGAAAATCTTGAAAACTAAAAGAAAAGGAACATGTATAGGCACTAGAATAGGTATCACACCAAAAAAGGAAAACTGAATGGCAAAGAGATCTTCCATCTGCCCAGCAACCACACAGATACAGGGTAAGCAATGAGGCACAACTTTAGTCCTGTCAAATCAGCAAGTTTTAAGTTTTTGGATTGTGCCCATTGCTGATGCAAACGTTAGTAAGGTGGAAAGCTCACACATTACTGATGACAGGAAAAGTTGGAGTCACTGAAGAACAATGAGGCTGTATAGCGCTGTGACCCAGCATGTCTACCAGTGGGCGTGGATCTGAGAAACTCTCAAATCCATTCTGTGACATTTGCAAGGATAGACACTGCCGGAGATTTGTGTTTCCTGGAGACCAGGGACAAATTACACAAAATGCCACATTGTACGTTTAGAATTCTTACAAATATGTATTTTGCAAAAGCACCTACATATTCCAAAACTATTTGTCTATCATAGAAGAGGATCAGGAATAAAAAGAATCAAAAAAAGGACAAGAGATGAGTGTCGATTGCACTGAGAACGGTCATGTGGTATAAGCTAAGCAGGCGTCTGAGGTTCAAGAGGGAAAATGTACTTGTATATTATAATAGGAATTACTAAAAATCATAATCAACAATTATCCAGACATGCATAAAAGCAGTGTAGGAGAAGAAAACATTCATGTTTGTGGGTGAGAAAATATCGGAAAATGTTTCCCTTACTGCTATAATGTGGTTGGTGGTGATGTTTTCTTCTTCACATCTAATACACCAGATACAGTGAGTATTTGTTTTAGCTTACAGTATAAAAGAGTGTACTCTGTCGTGGTGGGGAAATATGATGGTGGGAAGTGAAGCTACATGCTCACCTCTGAGGCGATCAAGAAGCACAGAGGTGAGGATGCCTGCTGGTCCTCAGCTAGCACACCTACTACATTTGCTTTTTCTTTTTATGCTGGGACTCAAGCCCATAAAATGGTGCTGTCCACCTTTAAGGTGGGTTTTCTCTTCTCAGTTAAGCCTGTGTGGTTATATCCTCCCAGATTTATCTAGATATATACCTCCTAGATGATTCCAAATTCAATTCAATTGAGTAAACAATGACTATTAATCATCACCATACTACTAAATCATCACCATGTACCTACTAAATCTTGAAGATTAATGGATCTTTTTTATTAAAGGGAAAGAAAGTGATTCTCAAGATCCTTGTTCCCTTCAGTCTCCTGTCTCTGAACAGTAGTTAAGTATAAGCCTAAAAGCAAATGGTTGAGTCAGAATACTGTCTCAGCATTTTAGTACCTGTGTCCTTATGAGAAAATTACTGAAATCCTTTGTTTCTTGATTTCTTCGGAGATGTTTGGAAAAAATTGTCATAATAATATCATACATTTGATGTGAGGATTAATTCAGAAACTCAGTAAATGTTCCTTTCATTTTTTTAATTACTCTTGTTACTATATACCAAACCTTCTGGGTTTGTGCTAGCTTTTCCATGCGGGAGGTAGAACTTCTGTCCTTGTATTGTATCTACCTTACTAAGATCCACCCATCTCTTATTCCACATCATGTTTCCACTGAATAAGAGCCAAAGGTTCTGCATCCATATCCTAAACATTAGGATTCTTCAGGCCTTGCTCCATCAGTTAGCGCCAGGTCTTTCAAAGATCCCTGCTCCCCATCTCTCATTTCTCTTTTCTCTGCTTCCCTGGCTCCAGAGGCTCTCAGTCTTCCCTCCTCTACTT